AGAGAAAGGACTGAGTTCTCTTCTGCACCAGCACTTACTGGAGGAACACTCAGTGGGTTTGTTAAAGAAAAGGAAACAGAAGTTCGAACTCGGTGTAGAGGGAAGAACAAGGCGGGCAGTGGTTGTCCAGAGTACTTTGCAACTATCACCATGACCCACCATTTGGTCTAAAAGGGGGGATCTAGGAAGCAATGTGGGGTGTTCAGCAATGAACTGAGGCTGGTGACTCAGCATTCACTGTCCCTGGTTCCTGGATGCCTTTCTTCCCTAGAAGGAGTAACATGACATCAGCATTTCCCTTTCTCTAGGGACAATTGCCAGTAACGAGCAGGTCAGAAAACTGTGTGGTAAGGAGTAGTAGGAAGCACTGTAACCCCAACAAGAATGATTTCAAAAGTGCTGTGAGGGGAGTCTGTGATGTAGGGGCTCTCAGTAAAGTACTCTTTGATAGACAGGGAGAGGCCAGTCAGTGGAGACTGGCCACCAAAGAGGAGGATCTCCACATCACATTGGCTCTGGGGTCTGATGGCAGGAGTATCAAGTAAAAAAGAAAGATGCTTAAAGAGGAAGTCCACAGCATCTCTCAATTCCCAAACGTCATTGCTCTGAGGTGATTCTGAAGGGGGAGGTACTGGTGTGTGGTGAGGACCTTGGAGTGGGTAATCTCACCCCAACAGATGAGGTAAGAACTGAGTAAAGCCTAGGCCTGAATCTGAGCCAGGTCTCCTCTCATCCAGTTTCTTAACGGTTCTCTTTTTATCACAACTCTCTGGGCCCCACCACACACACACACACACACACACACACACACACACACACACACCAACAAAAAGACTTACTGGTCAGCTGACCTGCCCAGTTCCTGTATCAGATACCTGCCCCCTCTACCTCCATCCCTCGAGGGCTTCCTCATCTTACCCAGCAGGGTAGACACAGGGGTATTTTTTCCCAGTGTTTTCCCCAAACCAGTTTTAGATTCTGCAACTAGGTCTCCTAGGAGATGCTCAGAATTGGGGAAATTTTGTACTTTCATTTTGTTTCTGTGGGGTTTTTTTTTTTCGTATCCAGATAAATGCGCTCATCATGTGCCCCATTTGATGATCTAGTCCATCCCTCAGTAACTCTTTTCTGCCTGGATAGCTTGTGTAATGGAGGGCTTTTAGTTAGAAGTCATGTTGAAGATAGTCATTGACTGGGAAATCAAGATGGACAGAGGCAACAGCCCCAGATACTGACTGGCAGCCAGGCAACTTGGCCACTGGCAGCCACGAACTCTCAAGAGAAAGAGAGAAGAGTAGCAAGTCTTAGAAGTCAGACTGTCTTTGCCTTTAAGAGTTGGAGATTGGAATTGGGAAGATGGCTCAAACAATAGAGTGCTTGTCATGCAAGCTTGTGAGCCTGAGTTTGGATCCCTGACACCCACATAAAAGCCAGGAGCAGTGTGCCTATAACCCCAGTGCAAGCAGCAAGGGGACAGAGACAAACAGATCCCAGGGCCTTGCCAACTAGCCAGTCTAGCTGAAACAATTAGCTCCTGGTTCAGTGAGAAACCCTGTCTAAAAATATATAAAGTAAATAAACATAGATGAATACACCTGACATTGATCTCTGGACTCCACTTGTATATATGTATGTGACTGCACCTTCATACACACATGGAAAGCACACACACACACACACACACACACACACCTAATCAAAAATAAAGAATTAGAGATGACCTCATTGCAAAGCCCATTTTAATTGTGGGAGAAGCTGTTCTCTGTACAGTCCTCCTTAATTTGGGGGTAAGGCATCGCGTAACCAAAGGGAAGGAAGTGATGCTGTACCATAGACAAGGGAGTCTAGGAATGGGAAACCATACATTCCCAGGATTCTCCTGCTGTTTGTACTAGAAGACATATTCAATAGACAATAAGTTATTGACCATCATGATCCCAAAGATTGTCTAGCCCATTCCTGCCTAGCATACTCTACTGAAAATGGTATCGATGAAGAGAGAAAGCATAGATGTAGAGTTAGATGATTCAGGATCTCTCATCTCTCTCTGTCTCTCTCTCTGTCTGTCTCTCTCTGTCTGCTTCTCTCTGTGTGTGTGTCTCTCTCTCGTATGTGTGTGTGTATGTGCATGTGTAACAACTCTTAGACCTCCATCTATAAAATAGGAAAATCATACCTGCTTCTTATTATTATATGGAATAACAAATATGGAGGCCCTGAACCAGCAGGGACTTCAGTTAGTGGCATTTCTTTCCTTTCTAACTTCTTAAATCTTCAAAGAATAATAAGTATATTCCAGAAAAAGAGAAAACACCCTTTACCTGGAGTCTGGATATTCGGATTTGGCCTAGATCCAGTTTTATACCCCCACTAGCTCTGTCTGCTCCCAAGACTGTCGTGAGGATAAAATAACATAGTAAATGTGTTGGCTTCAGAAAAGTGACTTTGTGAATACAAGGTGTCCCCGACTGTGTGTCTTTCCACGATGGTCGGATCTCCCGCGTGTGCTCCCTTCCACTGAAAGGAGTTGCTCTGCACAGAGCTACAAAAATTTGGAGAACTTTGAATTAGCCACGTTGCCTATCTTAATTATGATTTCTATTGCCGTGAAGAGACACCATGAGCATAGCAGTTCTTATAAAGGAAAACATTTAATTGGGACTGTCTTATAGGTTCAGAGGTTTAGTCCATTATCATCACAGCACAAAGCAGAGAGGCATGCAGGCAGTCATGGTGCTAGAGAAGGAGCCGAGAGTTCTTCTTCCAGATTGGCAAGCAGAGGGAAGACAGAGTGAGCCACTGGGCCTGACCTGAGCTTCTGAAACCTCAAACACACTTTCTCCAGCAAGGCCACGTGTTCTAATTCTTTTAAATAATGTCATTCCCTATGAGCCTTTGGGAAGGGGGTCATTTTCTACCAACACATTGTCCAAGACCTTAATAGCTTCCTGAGGAAAGGGTGTAAAAACCAGAGGTGCTAAACAACAGCAAGGAATCTGTCTTTGAGACACAGAGGGCAGCTGCACGTATGAACTCATAGGGATTATAGCATCATACATAGAATCTGTGTAAACACAGGCAAGACCAAGTCTCAACTGGGAGATGAGAGCGGGGCACAAAATCCCACCACTAGCCATGGACGTGTTAACAGTTGTCAGCTTCTGGAAGAGGGAGGGACAATCTTCTCTGAGACTGCTGTCCCTGGTAAATCAGCCGGGTTCCAGTGGAAGACCACATACCCAAGAATGTTTGAGCAACACAAAACGGTTTCAATGGGTTGAAGAAGAAAGGATGCCAAGTTGGGTGAATGTCCTTGGAAGAATGAGGAAGCACAAATATGATTTAAAAAAAAAAAGTTCACAAAGAACTAATAATTTTTTTAAGAAAGAAGAAGAAGGTTCATTCTGGAAGGATGAAGTAAACATGAAGCAAACATCTGAAGAGGAGGCAGGGCTTGGTAGAAGCACACAGATGGAGCACACATTCCAGTAGCTGTGCAACTCAAGGACCAAGATCATTTTTGAAAACTCTGACTTAATGGCCAGGTGTGGTGGCACACACCTTTAATCTCAGCCCTCAAGAAGCAGAACTAGGTAAATCTGAGACCAGCCTGGTCTATATAGTGAGTTCCAGGTCAGCCAGAACTATATAGTAAGACCCTGTCTCAAAAACCAAACCAAAACAAACAAAAAACAAGACAAATGGAAAAGGAGGAAAAGAAGGAAGGAAACTAATCCATGTCATTTGCTGATTTCTACGGTATCAATTTCACATGTGGCCAATTTCTAGCTTCCTCAGTGATGACACTGAGTGTCGAGCTGGGAACATGCCGTACCTAATTCACCACTGCGAAGTTGGTACTGGAGGAAGGAGGGGGAAAGCAAAGAGAGCAAAGGATCACTTTTCCTCTATCCCCAGCTCTTTCTACCCTCAGGCCTTCGGAGAGGCCAAGAGTAGAGCACTGTGATTGTGACAATGGATTCTAAAAGCATCAGCCTGAGGACCAGCGAGATGGCTCAGTGGATAAGGGCACTTATTCAGGCCTGGAGCCCACATAACGGAAGGAGAGAACTGATTCCTAAGGATTGTTCTTAGACCTCCGCATGTACAACTGTGTCAGGCACACACACACACACACACACACACACACACACACACACACACACTCATCTTTCAAAATCTCCTTGTGAGCCCCGATCATAGCATTTTCCAATGTTCTGTTCATACAGTAAATTCTTTCATAGCAGAAACTTATATGTAAGCTCTAAATTGAAAACAGCACCAAACTAGCTTGATCCTGCCCCTTTGTGCTCATCAGAGAAATAGACTATTAGCCAGTGGTCCACTCTTCTCCCTCCCCCCACCCCCCTTTGTTTTTTTTTGTTTGTTTGTTTGTTTTTTTGAGATAGGGTTTCTCTATAGTTTTGGAGCCTGTCCTAAAACTCGCTCTGGTCCACTACTGCCCACCCCGTCAGTCTGTGACTGTAGCTCCCGGTTTGACTTGCAGGGGTGTTCAATGAGGCCGTGGGACACAGAAGATCTATTATCTCATTGAAGGCTAGTTACAGAACTTGAGCTCTGAATTATCTCATCTGTAGGTAGTCTGCCTAAAGTCTCTTTCCTTAGGACCCAAGAAGAGTTACCAGTCAGATCTACTCAGAGAACTTGTGACACCCATTTCCTGGAAACAGTTTAGAAAAAGGAGGGTGGGGAGGGATCACATTTCTGGCCCAAACCAGAGTTTGACTGAAGTGACTACACAGCTCCTTTCCTGGCTCCCAGAGGTCCAGACACCTGACAGGTTTCTCAAGAACGACGAAGTGATTTAAGCCTGATCAGATATGAGCAATCCTTGAGACTCAAGAAAAAAAAAAAGAAGAAGAAGAAGAAGAAGAAAAAAAAAAAAACCCCCGCTTAGTTAAGACAGGAAGCTGGCTCAGGAACTCGGTGGTTCCTAGTGTGTAGAGTTGACAGCAGAGGCAGCACTATCTGATCAGAGCCTCCACCGGGCAACCGTGAGCAGCTGCCCGGCTCCCAGACAGGCACCGCGTCCCTCTCTTGGCCGGCTAATGGAGCCCAACAGGTCCCTCTTTGGGGGCATACTTCTGCTTCTTTCTCTGGCTTTTGAACTGAGCTACGGAACAGGTGAGTGTCCATTTGTTTAAGGGTTTGAGTCCTGTGCTTAGCAATTTGGGATCAACAGAGCTTCAGGGATAGAGGAGACATAAGCTGGGCAGTGCGGTTCGGTTGCCTCTTCCTTAAGGAGTACCTCTGGGTTTCTACTGTGTCTTTCAAAGAGGAAGAAACTTGTGTGTTCCTCGAGCCTCCGGTTCCAAGGATTAGCCCCACCGACACTAGTTTCTAAGGAAACCAGAAGCCAAAGTCACTGGCTACATCCACAATCCGCCTCTTGGTGTAAGGGACTCAGGCTGAAGTTCCGAGTGGCTGATTTGGGGTGTCTTTCTGGCAAAGACACAGGCTAGGGAATAGAACTCTGGAAGACTTGTCTTCCATCCCTGCGGAGATTCTCACACATACCCCAGCAGACAAAAGAGAACATGGTCCAGCGTAGAGCGACGGTGGCAGAGGGAAACAGGTACAAGTGAGAAACCTCAGACCTTGGGTTCAGAGTCAGCGGCTGAAGTGTGGTCACACTTTCCCATAAGAGATGATTCCAAAGCAGCAAGAAGGGAAGAGGTTGGGAGTTTTGGAGCCCAGGGCTGGTTATATGCAAATCGAGAAACTTCTGGTCAAAGAAGCTGCTGCAGTGGGGCCCAGTGGACAGCTAAGTTAAAGGAGTCAGACTTCTCTCCCATCCCGCTGATTCCTTCCAAGGCGAGATACTGTTTCCTGCTGAGTGGGTCGAAGCTATAAGGAGAGGTATTGGGAGCACCAGAGCTAAGAGGGATACTGGACTGACCGTGTGAGTGGAATGGGCAACCCCATGTTAGGACCTGATCAGTCTGTGGGAGACAGCCTGGCATGGGGATGGCTCTAGGGAAGGGATGGGAAAATCCTGAGGCCTAAAGCGTTTGGCCTTAGCGTTTTGGCCTTGGCGTTTTCATAACTGCAAATACATTATGGACTTTTCTAAGAAAAGCCCTTGCATGTGCCAGGGATGTGGGGTGCTGTAAGTGGAATCTCTTGTTCAAGTCTCGGATGAGGGGGCCCTTGCTTAGACTCATTTTGAGAGCTTAGATCACCAAACCAAGCATCTCCGTAGGTAGAGCTAAGCCTTCCTCACTGTATCCTGTCTGAACCCCACCATACTTGGTGACTAATAACTATGGGATGAATATTTGCTTTTCTGCTTGGATAGCCTTGCCTGTGACAGCTCAGGTGTAGCTAACAAATGCGCTGCTGAAGGGTGAGAGCTCACTTGTTGGTGAGTGGCAGTCCAGTCCCAGAACACATACATGTCACCCCACTTGGCAACTCTTCTTTCCTTCCATTCTGTCTACTAAAAGTGGTTCAATTTTTGTCAGTCTTCTATTTTTAAATGTGTACTCTTTTGTGAAACCCCAATAAAACTCAAATAGAAGTGTTTTGCAAATGAGACAGATCAGTCTCGTCAGAGCAACCCAGCGAAGACGCTTGACTCTTGTAAAAATCAGCACCTTCTCATTCCAGCTCAATTTTCAGTTCCCAGTGAGAACTGTAGAAAGCACAAAGCCCACATGTCCCTTCCCGGATATAACAAATTCTCCCAAATGACATCCACATTGAACATCACCTGCTTATTTTTATTTATTTATTTTTTTAATTTTTTAATTTTTTATTTATTTATTTATTTATTAAAGATTTCTGTTTCTTCCCCACTACCCCTCCCACTTCCCTCCCCCTCCCCCAATCAAGTCCCCCTCCCTCGTCAGCTCAAAGAGCAGTCAGGGTTCCCTGCCCTGTGGGAAGTCCAAGGACCCACCCACCTCCATCCAGGTCTAGTAAGGTGAGCATCCAAACAGGCTAGGCTCCCACAAAGCCAGTTCATGCAGTAGGATCAAAACCCAGTGCCATTGTCCTTGGCTTCTCAGTCAGCCCTCATTGTCCACCATGTTCAGCGAGTCCGGTTTTATCCCAGGCTTTTTCAGCTCCAGGCCAGCTGGCCTTGGTGAGTTCCCAATAGAACATCCCCATTGTCTCAGTGTGTGGGTGCACCCCTTGCGGTCCTGAGTTCCTTGCTCTCTCTCCTGGTGCTCCTGATTTGGACCTTGAGATTTCTGTCCGGTGCTCCAATGTGGGTCTCTGTCTCTGTCTCCTTTCATCGCCTGATGAAGGTTAATATTCAGGAGGATGCCTATATGTTTTTCTTTAGGTTCTCCTTCTTATTTTGCTTCTCTAGCGCCTGCTTATTTTATACAATGTCTATATAGCATCTTGACTTACATTCAAGAGCCATAGCAAAGAGTATCCAGGTAAATAACTGCAAGGTAAACTTTTCTGCCTTTTTCTTCTATAGTTTCCTGGGAGTCATTTTTAATTTCTTTCCCTTAGAGAAGACAGATATATTGTGCATATGTCACAATGTTAGTATTTATTAGGCTCTCAGGAAGCCTTTTAGTCTTTACAATGGAGAGAGCCCAGGCTGTGGTTTCTGCAAAGCCAGCCCCAGGTTTTTTCAATTCATTGTGCACATTAATTTGTCTAACAATATCATTTTTGTTGATCTCTGATACTGCTCTTCCCCTCATCATTCCTGCCAGAACATTATGATTCTCATCTACATGGGCCATTAACTCCCAATTCACAGACATTTTCATACCACGTGCCTCATGTTTCCATGAATGCTTGAATTGGATACAAATGCCAAGTTCATGTTCGGAAGAATCCACACCAAAGACCAAATATGCAGTCACATCGTATCTAGAAATCAGTTGTCTCAGATCCTGCAATTTATCAATGTATCAAACTATATCTCATTTATAGAGCAATTTTGGGTCATATCCATGTTGAACAGAGATTGCTTACACCCCTTACCCTGTATTTGCATAGCCTCGTTGTCAGTATTGGCCACTATGGGGATATATGAATCATGATGGATGACTCTCCCAAAATAAGGTGCTTTTGTCTTCCATGTGGGTCTTTCCCACATCCTCCATACATGTTGAGTAAGAGATAAGGGACAAATGCCTGGGTTCTAGGCTTGACCCGACCCAATGCAGCTATTCCATGCCAGTATATGGATCTAGATATTTCTTCAAAAAAAATAATTCCATGATATAAAACCTCACCTTTCTTTATCTGTAACATTGAAACAGAGTTCAAAGCAAAAGGGATTCAGTTAGTTATAGACTGACTTCTAAAGATTCTATTCAGCACTGATCTACTGAGTGTATCTGACTCTACCAGACAAGGTATAAGGAAAAGAGGAAAATGAGCAATCACAGCCTCTGACAGGCACCTGACATGATGCTCAGTATGTGAAAGCCCATTTAAAAATTATTGTTGAGGGCTGGAGAGATGGCTCAGAGGTTAAGAGCACTGAATGTTCTTCCAGAGGTCCTGAGTTCAAATCCCAGCAACCACATGGTGGCTCACAGCCATCTGTAATGAGATCTGGTGCCCTCTTCTGGCCTGCAGGCATACATGGAGGCTAAACACTGTGTATATAATAAATAAATCTTTAAAAAAATTATTGTTGAATAAATAATAGTAGAAAATACTACACACTTGCTTTATACAAGACATTGTGCTAAGCGTTTTATCATCGAAGTATCATACCAACCCACACCATCACCAACAGTGAGATTATCATCACCGTCATTAGTACTATTACAACTTTATAAATGAGGAAAGATAAGCAGAGTACATTAACAGTCTCTGTATACTCTGTATGTCAGGGAATGAAACCGGATAAACTTCTGTTTGAGAAGTGGGAAGAATGATACAGTGAGTGTATTTAGGTCCCGAGAGGAAAACTAGAATACAATATCTATAATTGAAGGGTATGTGTTGAATTAAAACTAACTGAAGCATAGCAAATGTCAAAAGTTGAGAGTCAGTAGGTTACCGGAGAATGTAGAAAGCACATATGCGAAGTGAAATCTGGAAAGTAGATAGAGACTGTTTTTAGCATACAGGTTTTTGTTTGAATCCTTCAGTTTATTTAGGCAAGAGTTGCAGTTGCATGTGTGTCCCTAAAACTTCAACAGAACAAAAGAGATTAGATTGAAGACGCCTTCTTTCTATAATCCTTGCTGCAGATAACACTCCTGCCAGTTTTTGCGTTCTCTTTCAAATAGAGAGGTTGGTTTCTGCTAGGGTTGGGGAAGAGTGTTTTAGACAGAGATCCAAACACAGAGCTAGAGAGATTCAAGTGCTTGGGGGAACGGCAACGGGTCTGTCATAGCCCAAAGCCAGCAGTGTGTGACTGAGGAGCTTCTAAATCCTCACCTGGAAAGTGGAGACAAATCCTGTCTCTCCTCCCACATGGGGGTGCTACAGAGATGAAATAGATTTCATTTCGAATGTGGAAAGAGAAGCACTTAGACTCATCTTGTCATTCATTCATTCATTCATTCAGCCCACTTCATTTTATTCATTCACTTTGACAACAAGGATTTTCTGGGCTTCCCCTGTGTCCCAGGTACCTCTTAGACACCACAGTAAATCAAAGATATAATCCCTGTTCTGGAAAGATTCTAAGTGTGTGAGGATGACAAGTGCTAAACTTGCTAAAACTGTGATGCAGTTAAAACTAGTTAAATCTGCGTGAAGGGGTGATGCAAAGTGAGATGGAGGCGTGTGGCAGGAAAGCTACCTGAAGCCCCGAGTCCAGGAAGTCTTCCCTCATTAAAAGGAGTCAAGGTGAAGACCTGAAGGGTGGAAGGAACTGGTCGGGCAAAGGGTGGTGCAGACTTTCAAGCTGAGAAATGATGGGTGCTGATAGTCTGAGCCACAAAGCCCCAGCACTCTCAGCACCGTGGGATAGGGATATTTACCTGATATCTAGGCTTAAAATCAAACCTTCAACAAGCTATTTTTTTCCTTTCTGAGTCTGCATTTATAGCTAGAATTGCAAAGCCTGTCTCTTTTATACAAAAAAAAGAGAAAGAAAGAAAGAAATAAAGAGAGAAAGAAAGAAAGAAAGAAAGAAAGAAAGAAAGAAAGAAAGAAAGAAAGAAGAAAAGAAAAAGAATGTAGCAAGATGCTAAAGACATCTATAAAATATCAGAATAAAGTCAAAAAAAATAAAGTTCTGGGGTAGAATCCCACCTTGTGAATGGGTTAGCTAAATCCTGCAAATTTCAGGCCACGGTTCACCTGCCCTGTGTGAATCACTCCACCATCAAAGCAGAGTTACCCACGAAGGAAAGTGAGTCGGTGTGAAGAGCACAAATGTTTCCTCCCAGCCTCTTCTAGTAAACAGGGCTGACTGAATCACAGGCTCGCTGGAAAACCTTCATCAGGCAGTAGGATGTTTCAGGAACAGAGACTCGACGTGAAAGGTTCTACAGCCCCACTGTGTTTCCACTTGCGCGAGGTGGGGATGACCTCAAGCACCCTCCAGACTCAGCAGTCATGGGAGCAATTACATCATTATTCTCTGGGTGTTTGGGTGTTAGGGTCTCCTGGTGAAGTTTTGGTTCCACTCATTGTGCATGCAAATCATGAAGTCTGCCTTCATCTGCCCCATTTCTTTCCTTTCACCCTCTCTCCTCTACCTCCTTCATATATTTGGCTACTTTCTACGTCGGCCTTACCTTACTTTTCTCTTCTTTCTACCTCTTCTGTATTCTGAAAACACACACACACACACACATAACCCTACCAGGTCATATGATAGGAAAGGTTGTATAGGAGGCATTTGGAGAGTGAAGTATCAGCAACGGTCTTATGGGTAAATTTCCCCATTTTCCCCTTCTTCTCCCTATCAAAATTAGTTTAAAATGTCAACAGTATGGTAGCGATTCTGTTTTTTAAAATCTCATATCTCTTTCAGAAGTAGCATTTAGGATCTCTTCCCCCGAAATGGACATACATTCAGAGGTCCGCGGATGGCTCTCAGTCTTCCCTCTTTGCAGTTCATATATTTAGGACTCAGGACATCACTACTCTGGGTACATTTTTACAGTTCAGGTGTGAAGCATCAGAGGAGCTGTGTCGTCTGGAGTTGTCAGGCATTTCTCAGTGTGGCCGGAAGGAAGGCCAATGAGCTTCCCAACATACCCCTGTAAAAGTAGCACTAAGCAACCACAGTTCATCTAACTGAGCCACAGGGCGAACACTGTTGTTAGAGGAAATATTAGCAATGCCCCAAAGACCAACTTCCTCGTCACCTAACCTACTTTCCTGTAGCAACCATGCATCAACCATTCTCATCCTGACTTTAGCCCATGTAGACTGTGTCTTCTTCCCCACCCCCACATCACTAGTCTTTAATTAATTTGTGCTGCGCCATTTAGCAGGCAGTGTAGGGATTTCAGAGCACATTGATATCAAGACAATTTTAGCCGATTTACCCAATTTTCCAGTAGTTCAGCTTTACCACAATTGAGAGGGGGTCTCTTCTAGATCGACCCGTCGCAGAAGCAGGTGTTTTTATTTTACCCTTTTGAATCTCTTATCAGCTAGAACAATCTATGCTCATTGAGTCATGTGCTCCAATCATGAACAATAACTCATGGTTAAATTCAGTTATATACATATTAGGCTAAGTTAAGAGGTCTGCCAGGGTAATATGACCTTCTTGTCATTCAAACAGATATTTCAGAGTCTCTCTGTGCCAAGCACTGTGTCAAGCTGTCAGATATACACAGTGCAGAAAGGTTCTTTCTCTGGAGAAGACTGTATTCAAGTGGGGCAGATAGCAATAAAATGAACGAACGGGCACCGAAACACCCGGCAGCAACAGCAAGAGCAATAGGCAGGGGGGCTATCCTGGTACTCTGTCCGAGGAGGCCTCTCCAAAGAAAGCATCCTCTGAGCAGGCACCCAAAATCAAGTGAGGAGCTGAGCTGTTCTGGTACATAAGGGAAGAGCTTTCCAGAGAGAAGCAGCACATACCAAGTCCCAGAGGCAGTAATGTTCCTGATGAGGTCAAAGAACGGGAAGCTACCTGATCATAGCGCTGTGAAAACCCAGAGAGTGAGCCGGGGATGGATTAGGAGCAACACCGGGTTTTCAGTGAGCAGAGTCAGTAACTGTGAACTTGTGAGTGCTAGAAAGCCCTGGAAGATTAAAAGTGGTAGAAGAAAAGAAAAGAAATTAGACATGGTTTTAAAGAATCTCTCTGTCCATGGTACAAATGCTGGGAGACAGGGGTAGCAGCTGGGCCTGTGCTGGCGGTGGTAGAAAGGAATGGCATGGGAGCGCTTCTGTGTCAGACCCACATGGAAATTAGAACCAGCAGGATGGTCTGTCAAGACCAAATGTGGAGTGTGACAAAGGGCAGACTCAAGAACTCTCCAATGTTCTGGCCTGAGAAACTGGACAAATGGTCATGCTTGAGCAGAAAGTTCTTTGCTAAAGTCAGATGCCATCTAAACCTCTAAGGACACATCTATGTAGGCAGTAGATATTAGGCAGTGAGCAGATTAGTCACAATTCGCAACTGTAAACACTGCCGAGATACGTCAAACTGTGCAGCGACGTGAGAAGCTGAATAGGTGTAAATAAGGGAGAGAAGGAAGCCTGAGCCCAGGCATAGTCTGATATTTAGATATCTGAAAAAAACAGAAGTTTCCCCCAAGGAAACTAAGAATGATAAAAGAGCAAAATTGCAAGTCAGGGAAGTGTAGTATCTCGGGGACCAGTGCAGGCAGTGTTCAAAGGAGGGAAGATGAACTATGTCGAATGTTCCTGAGAAACACTTAAGACGATGATGGAGAATTAATTGAGTTCAACAGACTAATCTTGTCGAGTGAGATTCAATGAGACTTGGAGAAGAATACTTGTTTGGAGTGGGCATGGGGGAAACTGGACCAAGAAGTAAAAGCAGAAAACATAAACAGGCAGGCAAGGACCTTCCAAAAGAAAATGAAATGGCCAAGTGGCTGAAGATGAACCTGGGATCAGAGGAGAATTTTTTTTTTTAATGAGGGCAATTAAGTGTTTGTATGTTTGCGTTGGTGAAAGAAATCCAGAAGGCAGCTGATAATGCAGGGGGCACGGATTACAGAGGCAAAACTTGGAAGCACACGAGTGGTCCTTGAGGGGTGAGACTAGCCTTGGATGGGAACACAGGTCATTCCTCCAGGGAGACAGATCAACTGGGATTACCAGAGATTGACATTTGCTTTCCAGTTCTTCTATATTTTTTCAGTGAAACAGAAAGGGCGGTCACCCCTGCGAGGGGAGGCAGAAGGCAGGCTGTGGGTTTGAGCGCAGCGGAGGTATTAAATAGTCAGCACTGGTATCCCTTATTTTGGTTTTTGTGGCTTTTTTTTTTTACACCCCTCCCATTTTTGTTGATTCAGCTTTTTTTTTTCAAAAGGGAAATAAAATAATCTCTTACCATTACCATTATTAATTGTCTCAGGGATTTTTGGAGAACTGGGATTCCATTGGACATGAAGTACACATCCTCCCTAATTTCCGTAGTCCTCAGACCCTTCTTTGCTTCTCACCTGACTTGGTGTTTCTGGAACTACGGTCCTCTGGGCTCCTTTTTACTGTTACCCACTCTTCACCCTGCATACTGAGTGCTGGGAAGGACCTTGGCAGAGAAATTATAGGCTGAGATTCTTGTCCCGGCACTGCCACTTACTCTGTGACATCAAGGGAGTCATTTACCTACTTCTGCATTCTGTGCCTACCCTGTTAGGTCTGAATTGGCAGGACCCTGGTGTAAGTAAGTCTAGGATTTCCAATGGACACTTTGAAATACTGAAGGTATGGTTAGGATCCCCGTGGTTGTTCTTATAGACCACCGCCTTGTGTATCGAGCTAGTTCGGGAGGAGAGGCGAGCCTCAAGCCTGTCGTTCTCTGCCCTCTACACCGTGGGTTCTCCAGGCCTTCCATCATAAGGAATTACCGTCCCTTCCTTCCCACAGGTGGAGGTCTGATGAACTGCCCAGTGATTATCCAGCAGTTGGGAAATGACACCACGTGGCTGCCCCTGACGAAAGAGAGCTTTAACAAAAGCATCCGCATCCTTGTCACGAAGGCAACGGCAATGTCTCTAGAAAACAAAATCACTAAGAAAATAGTGTCTTTTAATCTCGATAAAGAGGACTCTCTAGAGCACCTGGAGGATGGCTACCAGTTTCAATGGGAAAACCTGAGCCTGGGGATCCCGGGAAACAGGAGGGAGAGTGAAGGATGGTACATCGTGAGTTTGGAGGAAAATGTGCAAGTTCAGCAATTCTGCATTCAGCTGAAGCTCTATGGTAAAAATGGGAGTTTTCACACTTTGCACAGGAGGGAGGGCCCAGAAGACTTTAGGCCTTTCTCAGAAGCAGAATGTCTGGCATTGAAAGCCACTTGAAAGATCTGGTCCAACGAGTATTTAAGCTTAAGGGAAGCACTTTGACAGGCTGACATTTGTGTGTGTGTTTGTTTGTTTATCTCCCAAACTGCACATCAGTGGAGGCTGATTTGATTCTTGTTTTGAAAGGAAAGGAACCCACTATGTGGGAGCTGAAGGGCTGGCTTTTATCTCTTACAGGGCTTAGTTTGCATACCAAGATTTTAATAAAAGGATTTTTTTCTATCAAGCCCAGAAGTTTGAACCTTCTCCTTCATTGCCAGGGACCCCGACTCCAGGGGCAAGTGGTTTTGCACGTGCTTAGCCACTTGTGTGGGATGTTTGCTGAAGTAGAAGTTCTGAGTAAAGAAAGCTGACATTCCACCCACAACAGGTCACCAAGCCCAGAGCCCTGGGGGAGGCTTCCACCTACGTGAGGAAAGAAACGCCTTTTTTTTTTTTTTCTCATTTGAACCAGAATCTGGTTATGTAGTTGTTTAGTTGAGGGATTGTAGAACCTACATCACCTGAGTCTGGTGTTTTTCTTAGCCCCTAGAACTCTGCTCCTGTCCTTGAAGGCAGCTAGAATTCCTATCTCTTAGGCCCAGAGGTTCATCTGCTTCCCAAGGCTTCTTGACGTCTTCGTGGGGCTTCCCTGGCTTTTCAAAGGGATCTCTTGCACCACGAAGGATGGGATAGGAAGCCCACAGCCAGCGTTAAAACAGAAACATCTGGACTCTCTCCTGACCCAGTGTTTCCCTTCTGCAAATAGAGAAAGATGAATTCTCATAGCCCTCTGCTTTGTGTACATGGAGGCCGTACATCAAATGTTTTTTTTTTTAAAAAAAAAACATATATGTCATATAATCTGTCCCTTTGTTTTTATAAGTTTACTGACTTTGTCAAACCTTATGTTATCAGTTGGGTACTTTGGGAACTGTGGTCTCTGTCACCACGACTCGCTTTGCTGAGAGAGGCGGTTGGGCTGATTTCAGAATCTGACTAAGCTGCTTATCTCAGCCTGGGCCACTTAGAAACTGCATAATGTTGAACAAGACATGCCATTTCTCTGGGACTCAGTTTTCTCATCCACAAAATGGGAATAATTATTTTTAGTTATGATTATTGAGAGAATTAAAAAAGATGAATATGAAATGCCAGCAATGTGCTGGTCTTATAGTGGCTGTAATAAGCATGACCTCCCTTTTTGCCTTGCCTGTCTCATGTCTTTAGAATTGTACAGATCAATAGGGCCTGTGGCTATGATTGAAAACCTACCAGTGCCTTAGACCCACCAAGCACTTGCTACACACACACACACACATACACACACACCACAAATACACCACACACACACTACACATACACCATACACACATCACATGCATATACCATACATACCACACACCACATACATCACACGCACCACACACACATCACATTCCACACACACCACACACATATACCATACCACACACCACAAATACACCACACACACCATATATACACCATACACACACCACCTACACACACAACACATATACCATATATACCACATACCACACACACACACACCACACACACCACATTCCACACACACACCACGCATACCACACACATACATACACACCACACACACAGGCATGATGAAATCCTATCACTGAAAGCTCATGCTTCAAACTCCAGGAGGTTGTACTTGAAGCCAATCAAAACTCATCTTATTCCTGACAGAACAGACAGAGCAGTCTGGATGAGGCACGCAGTACCCTAACAGTATTAGCTGGAAGGAACCAAATACCAAATGCTTCTCTATCTTATCTCGAGGGTCCTGGAAAGAGCAGAGAGTCATGAGGGTTGCTGTGAGTGGCAGTTTTCCAAGAGACAACTTGCACTTAAGACTTCTCAGTGAGGGGGAAATGCCAATTGTCTAGGCATTGTTTTGGCAAATAAGACAGTCAAATTGAGTTCCAGGAGTTGTGTTTCAGTGATGGCTCCCTTGCTTCCTCCTCCTGACAGAGCAGGTCTCCACTCCAGAGATCAAAGTGTTAAACAAGACCCAGGAGAACAGGAATGGGACCTGCAGCTTGACGGTAGTCTGCACGGTGAAGAAAGGCGATCATGTGACTTACAGCTGGAGCAATGAGGCGGGCAAACATCTGCTGAGCCTGGCCAACCACTCCCACCTCCTGAACATCAGTCTCAGCAGCCAGGCTCAAGACAACATCTACAACTGCACGGCAAGCAACCCTGTCAGCAGTCGCTCCCAGAGCTTTGACCTATCACAGGAGTGCAGGCGGGAATCCTCAGGTGGGTACTCTGGGGGCAGCCTGGGCACATCATCAGTGGCGAATCCAATACTAACAGGTCCAATAGCTCCGCTTTGGACCTTGCCAACGGCACTTGTTGTCTATTGTTGTCAAGGCCTCCAGGGCGCATCCAACAAAGGTGCTTTCATGTCGGTCCTAGGTGGCATTCTATTCCATTTGGTTCACAGTTGAGGAACAAATAGGGAAGGAAAAAACAGAATCAGACCCAGAACTCAGGTTTCCAAGAGAAAACCTTTTTCCAGGCCTTCTGCCCTGGATTGTCATGAGCTTGCAATGATGTCTGGGAAGGAAAAAGCAGGTTGCAAGTGCTCAGTCCCAAAGCCGTGCTCCCTTGTGGTGAGATAGTTTTATGCCATCAGTAAGTACTTCCCTGGTGCTTCTCCTACAAGAGAAGGGAGTTGGTACAAAGCGTGATCTCTGCACCGCAGCAACGCGCTGTAAATGCAAGCACGAGACATGTGTTTGATAATGAGGTTCAGGCTGTAAGGGCGGGGCTTGTGCTGTGAATCCTAGAGCAAGTGAGAGGACCAGAGGATCAGAGTGAGAGGTGAGCTGAGTTCCAGAGCGTGAAGCCAGGGAACAGTGATGAAATGGTAGCACTCTCTTAAGAGCAAGTCACTGTTAACTCTATCGTCTCTTTGGCTCACAATACATTTGTCCGGTGGGTGCTATTACCAGCTTCATTTTACATAGGAGGAACTTGGAGTTCACAGAATTTAAGTATCTTCCTCAAGTTTCTTCAACATCAAATAGTGGAGTTAATGCCTAAATCTTTTGGATAGGTCTTCTCTTTTCCAAGGTAGAAAAGCACGGTTGTTCTTTTGGGAGAGAAAGTTGATGAAGTAAGCCCATCTCACCAAGAAGCAGAATAGACCACTGCCCTCTTGGGCCATACTGTGCCTCTGTCACAGGAAGGTTCAGGGAAAGCCCTGAAGGGCATTACTTACACCCTGATATCTCCTTGACTCCCACCCACACAGACTTGTTATCTGTGTGACACACGGATGGACAGAGACAGAGGAAGGGGACTGTGCATACGTTAAGCTATGAGCATAGTACTTCCTGTAATAGAGACTCCCCACCCCCAAAGGGTTCTCAGAGAGGAAATACCCCTGCTGTACCCCAACATATTCCTTTGACTTCTTTTTTTATGAACTTAATGTAGTCATGTCACGGAAAGAGTCAGCCATCTCTACTTTCTAAATGTGGCCCACAAACAACGTGTAGACGCTTCTCCAGGTATCTCTCTGCCCACAGTCATTAGGCATCCTGGAAAAAAAATTGCCATATAGTGGGAAGCTTACAGAATGTGGTCCCAAGGGGCTCTTTCTAATTATTGGAGTAAAAAGCTCAACTTTCTCTGAGACTTTATTTTTCATCTGTAAGCGATGGCTTGGCCTTGACTACTGGCTACTTGGCAAGTCACTAACCCTCACAGCCATCAGATGATGGAGATAGTGCTAACATCTTCGCCCTACGGATGAAGTGAAGGAAGAAATCAAAATGTTGGAGTAAGGTCAAACACAGAGCCAGTGAGAGAACTGGGCTGTCTGGTGCTGGAATTCTCATAGGTATTCATGGAAGAGTGAATTCACTTAAAATGCCTTAGAAATCATAATGAAAAACTAGTTGTCTTCCTTGAAGATGAAGGTGAAGTACCCATTATGCCAGCCCAGCTCTCTTTGGTTGTAAAAGCCTGTTTAGGGGCAGGCAACACATTTTTCCTTGGCCTATCTCAAAATGGGATGCTGGGGATGCTGGGATGGGAATTCCTTTCATGCTCCAAGACAGCTTGACAAGCCTCTGACTAGCGCGTAATAAAATCGTGGGAATCCATGAAGCTTACACCTAAGAGCATTCAGAGCAGGACATTCTACACGAACACTGAAGATAGTTTTACCTGTTTAAGGCATCCTGAGGATGAAATATACACTGGTGTGACCAAGTGTGCAGCAGGCTTCTGTGAGGTACGAAGGGACATGAAGTGACAAGACAGGGTGCTCTGAGTAGAACTCTATCAAGGCCTTGTCTGCGGGTCATGGGGGGGGGCACAGCTGTGAGCCTGTTTCACCTTGATTAAAGGTCAGAGAGTTTGAGCTTGTTTTCACGCTTTCAAAGCTGTTGGCAACAGGAGTGGTTACAAACAGGGTATCCTGACCTAAGGTGTGGTTACTTGGTGTTTTGGACATTAAGATGGCCCATAGAGGTGGATCCACTCCACCCTGACCAAAGGTCAGAGAATTCAAGCCTATTGCTGCTCCTTTATTTTAAAATCGTTGGTTTGACCCAGGGAGAGGCTGCCTACAGGATACTTGGTCTAGGGTGTATTCACTGTATATCCTGCCTAAAAAGTCAGAATGCTTAACCCAGAAAATAGTGGGTTGATGGCAAGTCTTCAAGCAAGTTGTCTCAAGTATTCAAGCAAGTAAAGTCATCCTTTGTGTCATGTTAAAGCAGTCTTTTGCTCCCCGCTTCTATATTGGGGTATATAAGTGTATAAAAAAATAAATGCAGGCAGATTCAGTATTCAGTATTCACTGAGTTGCCCTCCCAGTATGATCCTATGTCTCTGTATTTCTTTTGTATCTCTTTCTGTTCTGCCTAACATTTCTAACCTACATGCTCCTACCCTGGAATGTACAAACCCAACATGGCTGGACCATGACACTCATCCGGTCCGTAAAGACACTAGACACGAGGCAGCCACATTCCTCTCTTGGGCCTCTGTTTCACCATCTGCAAACCAAAGGGTAAATTACTGATGTTCCTTCCAGAGGTGACATTTGTGATTCAGCTCGTGAGTATGTCAACAAGAACCATTAATAAGAGATGCTAGCGAGTCTTAGTTTTCTAGGGATATTGATGTCATAAACTTGGAAACTATTGTCTCAATGTCCTGGAATCCAGAAACTCAAGATCAAGGTGTTGTCTGGTTTGATTTCTCCTGAGACCTCTCCTTGACTTGCAAATAACCTTCCTTTCTCCTCTGCCTGTGCATCCCTGGTGCCTTTCTCCTCTGCCTGTGCATCCCTGGTGCCTTCCTCCTCTGCCTGTGCATCCCTGGTGCCTTCCTCCTCTGCCTGTGCATCCCTGGTGCCTTTCTCCTCTGCCTGTGCATCCCTGGTGCCTTCCTCCTCTGCCTGTGCATCCCTGGTGCCTTCCTCCTCTGCCTGTGCATCCCTGGTGCCTTTCTCCCTTCCCTCATTTGATACGGACAAGAGTCAGGTTAGATAAGAGCCATCCTAGTGACCTCATTTGAACTTAATTACTTTTTTAACAGCTTGTTCCCAAATATCACTCTGGCGAGGCTTAGAGCTTCGACATATGAGGGAGTAGGTGTAGTAATTAAAGCATACCACCACCCTCACACCCTAGTTGCAACTTGATTATCTCTGTAAAGCTCCCATATCCAATCAAAATCACATCCTAAGGACGTCCAAATGTAGATTTTAAGAGAACACAATTTAACGCATAGTTCAAGTAATGATCTCTCCACCTCCAAAGATGGAGGAGGTCTTCACCAAATCCAAGCCAGACACACAGACAGTTTGCAGCATGACCTTTTCTCTTCACAGGGCTGTAGAGGAAATTACCTAAATTACTGAAAACCTACTTTCATTGGTCTATCACAGTGGTTCTCAACTTTCCTAACTCTGTGACCCTTTTTAATACAGTTCCTCATGTTGTGGTGACCCCCGACCATAAAATTATTTTTGTTGCTACTTCATAACTGTAATTTTGCTACTGTTATGAATTGCAATGTAACTGTCTGTGTTTTCCCGTGGTCTTAGGTGCCCCCTGTGAAGGGGTCACAGGGTGAAAGCCGCTGGTCTATCACTTTATGTTTGCAAATGGAAGTTGCTAATTTTAAAAGTGCTTTTTTTTTTTTGGCTTTGACAAAGCATCTATTGAGGATCTACCATGTTCCAGCATCATGCAAGGGACTGAGCACACAAAGATAAAAAAGAAAGAGTGCTATCTTTGTCCTGAAGGAGAGAATTCTGTAAATAGATAGACAATGATCCTAGATCATTTGGTATGGAGAGGAGGTTATAAAACCAAAGCGTGTGCAAGGTAAAAAAGAGGGGGAATGAACAGCGCTGGCTCCTCGAAGATGGGGATTCAAGCAATGAGCAGAAGTTACCCAGACTCACTGACAAAAGGCAACCTGAGCAGAGGGAGAAGCAGAGAAGAAGGCACAGGCCACATTCTCCACCGCCTTGCAGGTAATAGGGAGATAGGAACTGGTGGTTCTAGATGGGAAACAGCTCCACCGTCTTTGCATTGCGAAGAGAAAAGACAGTGGCGTAGAGAACAGACTGGGGTCAGCCGGAGACAGAGAGAAAGAAATGAGTTATAGGAGGACCTTAGGACAGAAATCCGTCAAAAATGTGCTGAGACCTGAGTCAAAGCAGCGACTGTTACTGCGACAAAGACTCCTTACATAGTGTGTACCAAGGGAAACCTCCGCCCTGGAAGGAAACTGTGCGGTAGACTGAGGGTTCATCAGATATTGCCATCAGTAAGTCGGAAGAGTCATTTTGAAGACAGTTTTTCACTTTAATTGGTGAGAATACGTGCATGGACACATGTGTGCCTTGAAAAGAAGTTTTGATGACATCTGTCTAGGTTCTCAGTCATATAATCATCCGAGTTCCAGCTGCCATTTAAGAATTTCATGCATCTTCAGTGTCCATCATAAAGAAGTCTCGTATGCAAGGCCTAAGTGCTAGGGCCCCACAGCTTCTTTTATCTAGGTCATGTGAAGCACATTAATGTGGTTTGACAGTAGATCCTGTGTGGGACTTCCTGCTGTCCTTAATCACTCTGTTTTGAAAGTATTGTATCTGTGCAAGGACGGTTGATTCAGAATCTTAAAAATTCAGCTAGAAGGGAATGCCCCTGGAAGCCCACACTCAAAGGGAAAACTTTCTCAAGAAATTAGTAGAATGCTGGCTCAGTGGAAGAAAGGGCTGACAC